TCAATGGTAAGGTGGGGGGAGGGGGTCCTGGGTGTCCGGAGATAATCTTGAGAGCAACAGGTTCACGTTACACTAGCACGACCTGAGCCTGGCACATAGAGTAAATCGTCTCTAATGCTTCGAGGCTGGACGCTGACTACTTTCGCCCTTCTTCCTTCTTTATTCTCACGCTCGAGACGCTGCACTCATTTGTTTCTTCTTAACACGGAACCCGTGAAAATGACGGGTTCACTAATTTTTTAATTTACGGTTATTCATATCGTAAAGATACATTTATGAGTTATTTATTCAATTTATATGTTATTTACGGCAAATATTACAATAACACTTCTTAAAAATCAGAATAAATGTCTTATTGTTACTTTTATAAACTAATATAAAACAGCTGCTTTTTGTACTCCGTAAATCTAGTGTGTTAATCGATATCTACATACTTTGCGGGCCGCTGCCCCGCTTCGCTTAGCACACGGCACACGCACTCCGAACACACACACACATACCTCGTTCTCCACACACATTCTTAACGCGCACACAGTTCACTCACTACAGATATATTCACGTCATGATGATTAAAAAGCTTCGCCAGTTCCACAAGAACCACACATGCCCATCCCGAAACAAGACCGATTCCCCGAAAATCCGTTTCATCCCCTCTCAAGCAGGTACCACGATTCTCACGTTCAAAGACTACTCCAACCATCATATGTGGTATATTATTGGGCGCCAGTCTAAAGATTCACGAACACTTTCGGTTTTCCATAACTGTTTCAGTCAGAACCAATAAACATGTTGCCGAAAAAGTTGAATCACTTAGAATGTGTGATTCCGAGGTCATTTCAAGTAACTTTTTCCTTAGCGCAGGTGCTATCTGCGGCTTCTTTTATGTATTATTTACAAATCACATTTGTACAGTATGAAATTTTGTGCATTTTACACAGTGAAAATTAACAACAAGTAACCTTGTCAATGTACGTAATTCAGTATCCGAACAAAATTCAAAAATCGATTCGTAAAGCTACTTTACTTATACAGAGTGTCTCATAATTACGTTAACACTCGGAAAGAGGTGACTTCAGAGGTCATTTTTAGTAATTCGCAGCTTTGTTTATCGCGCTTGCTTCTCATTGGTTACTGTTTTTCGTTAATAATTCATAAACAAAGTCGCAGATTGCATTATTGCTAAGGAAAAAGTTACTTGAAATTATATTTGGAATCGACCCTTTCTGAGTTTGGACGAAATTATGGGGCTCTCTGTACATAACCTTATCAAAAAACACAGAAAATTTGTTCTCACTCTCTCTCTCGTTTCAGATATATAAAAAATATCATTAATAGAAAACTAACCTATTTAGTTAAACATCTATTTATTACTCCAAAATGTGTATCAGAAGGTCGATGCATTGATCGTTTCGAGAAACAAGGGCTCGTGGGCCCTAAATACATATATATCAGAATTCATGTAGTTGCGGATAGGTACCCATCTGCTGGCGAATGCCGAAGATAGCCGCCACAGAAGCATAATATATTAATTTCAAGAATTTTGTGGCTCTAAAAAGAGCCGATCCTTTTATAAGATATGTTCGAATTTCGTTCTGTTAGCGGCACGTACTGCGTTGACACGTTTTGTCCGTTCTTCTCAATCCTTTCCAGCACCATTGCTACATCCTTGGAAGGAAATCTGAAATACTGGGGGAATTACCAGCCGACTTCCTTCAAATTACCACAGAGAAAAAATCGCACCAAGATAAATCTGACAATTGAGGGGATCATATAATTGGTGTACTACACCCGATCCCTTTATTATTAAAATCGATATTCAACCATCGAATTGATATTCGAAAATCGAAATTTCTAACTGAATTGCACAACGGACAACTATGATGTTGGAACTAATTATTTGGTTTTATTATTAGTTACATATCATGCCAAACATTATACATTTGTAGAAATGTAAAATATTTTTCTCCATTAATTCCTTGTTTAAAAGCATCGTGGATGCCACACCAGACACTTTATAAATTACGATATGGGATGTTCTTTTCATATATTTCAATACGGATATCCCCTTGCCAAAATTCTTAAATTTTGATGGTTAATCTTACCGTTTGCATAAAAATGTTTTTATCCGTAATCATTAAATGTCAAATCAAAGAGTATCGTCGGATAAGATGGCCAAATGTAGGTTGTTTAGAACATTCGATAGATCACTCAAGGAAAACCGTCTCGACCATGTTTCAATTCTCTACTCCCATCACAAAGGTAGTTATAGGATTAAATCAAATTAATATATTATGCTTTTGTGGCGGCTATCTTCGGCATTCGCCAGCAGATGGGTACCTATCCGCAACTATATGAATTCTGATATATATGTATTTAGATATGATTTATATATTGGGTCTAGGAAAAAGTTCGTGACGTTTTGTTAGTAAAATTCAACTGGATTTCTTATATTGTGAAAATGAATTTATTTAAACCACAAATATGCTTCGTTATTATCGACAATATTTCGCCATTTTTCGGGTAGAATCATGATGCCATCGGTGAAGAACTTCTGCGGTTTCTGCTTAAAAAACTGAATCAAGTGATTTTCACAGGCTTCTTTTGAAGCCAGTTTGATTCCATTGAGAGAGTTCTGCAAAGATCGGAACAAGTGATACTCAGAGAGTGCTATGTCTGGACTATACAGTGGGTGCATCAAAATTTCCGAACCAAACTCTTCCAATTTTTTACGGGTCGTCAAAGAAATGTGTAGTCAGGCGTTGTCGTGATGGAATACAATACTTTTCCTATTATGCAATTCGGGCCGTTTTTTTTTTAATTGCGTGGCGTAATCTCTCTAGTTGTTCTAGTTGGTCGCCTGACCAACTGGAAGTACCTCATGGTGGTCGATACCCTTCTAGTCCCACCACACACACAGCATCACCTTTTTTTAGCGTCAATCCTAGCTTCGCGAACGCTTGTGACGGCTTACCATCTTTTGTTCACGATCTTTGGCGCTTCCGATTGTCGTACGTAATCCATTTTTCATCAAATGGCTCGATTTCATTACGTTTCAGCAGAGCATCATAGATGTTGATTCGATTCATCATGTTTTCCAACTCATGACGAACCCAAACATCCAGCTTCTGTTTGTATCCAGCTTTGTATAAATGGTTTAAAATATTTTTGTGGTCAATGTCTAGTTCCATACCAATATCGGCACTGCTAATGTGCTTATCTTGCTGAACTTTTTCAACGATTTCATTAGTTTTTTCAGTAACTGGACGACCAGAGCATGACTCGTCTTTCACATCAAAATTACCAGAACGAAAGCGAGCGAACCATTTCCGCGCAGCTGATTTTGATAATGTACCTTCACCATACACAGCACAAATTTTTTCACAAGTCTGCGCAGCGTTCTTCCCTTTGTCGTAATATTTTAAAACATAGAAAAATTTCTTATTATTTCTCTCCATTTTCAAACGCCAACAACTTTCCAAATACTGCACCACCACGATGTTTGTACGCTCAAAATAACGTTCAATGTGTCACCTTTAAATGAAGCGTTTAATGGTATTGTTGCAATAAGTTGTTCGTGAGTTATTAACAATTGACGACATCTATTGGGAAAACGCCGCGAACTTCTTCCCAGACCTAATATATATCTTCTAGCGAAACCAGGACGAAATGTTTCCCTTTCTTTTCCTCCACGCCTCCTATCTTTCTAGACCGCCTACACTCCATTTCTTTTGTACTGTTCAACGGAAAATTATGAAAAAGTTCATGAATTTTCTACCTAATACAGTAGGTTTGCAAATAATACATGCAGATTTTATACTGAAACTACCACTGCATCATATTTATATTTTTGGCATATCAGTGTCTTATTACTTGTCAAAAAAATGAGCTATAACAAGTTATACGAGCAGAAACTTGAAAGCAACGTACTCTCTCTCTCTCTCTCTCTCTCTCTCACAAGGAGTTTTGTTATGAAATTCATAAAACTTTATATAATTATGAAACGCAGCGATCTCAAAACGTCGTAACCATTTATTTTCTCCCGGATATCTGGTTGTAGAAATATGCAATGATATTTATCAAATTAAATATTGTACTTAATTCGTCGATTTCCATGATCTATGCTTTCAACAGTTTTGTAATACGAAACATCCTGAGGTCTAAAAGTGATTGTGTGTTATCTTATAAAAATTATCAGGTTAAACTCATCACAATATTTATTATAGTGCCTACTTCATCCAAGAAATATATTCGATAATTTCCAATGAAAGCAACGTTATGATTCCAGTAATTATAAAATACAAAATGTGAAACCGTTTAAAACGATAAAACGTGACAACGTTTAGTATTCAGTGCTTGCAGTGATAATAGATGCAAGGTATTATTGTTACGTTCGATTTTATTGTCGCTAGTTTATTATTGCACGACATGATTGCTACACGTTTGTCACGATACGATAATATTGCAGTAACGAACATTTATGTCAGCATAAGAAATATATATTTTTATAAGGTTATCTAACACGTTTAACGGATGATGGCAATCCAAAATGCATTTAGGTGAAATTGAAGAATCTTGAAGACACTGAAAAAATCTAAAACCAATGTTGCACTGTTTACGACTTATTAAATTTTTTAAAAGAAAATATATTTTTTTATATCATTTCTGTTTCTTACAATTGGTTTATAACACATCTATTTTGCATTTAATTATTCATTACATTAATTTAAATGAAAATATTACTGAAATGAAAATCACTCGATATTTTAGTATGAAGAATAATTTGGTAGCTACGTGATGTAAAGATCGAAATAATGATACTATCTCTTCAAAAATCTGAAAGGTTGTGTCAGCATATTGTGCAATAAGTATATTTCGATATCATTTTTAGTACCGATCCGTTTCTGTTTATCACGCATAATCCAGTTTTAAAATACTTCAATAAACCCGTTATGGCAAAACCGCGAATAATGATTCTGTATAAATACAAGAATACGAGTGGATATTAATGTAGAATTCTATCAAGAGAACCATGAATCAAGGATCGAAGTTAATTATTCTACTTGTTTCTGTAATTTTCATTACGGGATACTTTTGGACAATTCAAGCTGTAAGATATATATTTGAAGATATCCTAGAACAGATTAATTTTTTGTTCACAATTCTGCAATTATCAAATAAGAAATTTCTAGATAAAGTGATGTATTCAGCATATATAGGGTGTGCTGCAAATGTAAACTCTCATAACGGATTCCTTTTAGTTAAAGCTTCGTGAATCAGTTATTAAAAAAAAACTCGTGCCAACCAGAGAACACGTATAACTACTGTTCCGTCCTCGCGACCACGACACCGCATAGTGGTCCGAATCGAGAAGTTCAGTGATATTTTGTCAAAAAATCTTCTTTCTACTATCGATATCTGCTGAACTCTTATTACTTTCTAAATATCCAGCAACCTCAAAAATGAAGGAATTAATAAAATACAATTCAAATTTTAAATAATATAATCATTCAAAGCTAGAAATTTTAAAGACAGTATTTTTATGTATTTTAAAGATACTAATTAATACATGTATCTGGGGAGTATGATAAGGGGAAAGCAATCTTTTGTGATAAGAAATTGCATTTTTTATTAACAAACAATAACAATATTTTTTACTTTTCTGTAAATTCATTTTCTGTAAATCTCCCTTCATCCCATTTATCGAGTCATTAGTATTTAAAGTTGTATCTATTTACTGGGATGCACATTGATACATTTC